GTCGATTAGGTTCATGTGGATTGGATGGGGATGTTCATCGTCGCTCGTTAACACTGAACCGTTCGTGGAGACCTATAGGCAATTTTCGATGCCTACAGATACCCCCTCCAAAGTGTTCCTGACTCGTTTCTTTTATAGAAGAGGCTGGGATACTTTGGATGTGATTGGTCTAGCCTTCAGTCGGCATCAGGACCTGTAGTTAGCTTCAACTCTTGGCTCCTTCGATTTTCGGTCTATTCGATGCTTTGACGAATAGCCAAGGTTCTTCCGGCGCTGCGTTTATCGCGAAGTTCTTCCAGCGCTGCGTTTATCGCTTGGCCGTCGTCGGAGTCTCGAGTGTGCAGCTGATGAATTGAGTTTGGCTCGTGTCATTGAGTTGACTTTGAATTACCTCCGCCACATTGTGCTGGCTTAGGGTTTCGGATCCCCGTGTGTTGGCTTTTTGTCGCAACGCGTTGACCGGCGTTGACCTAGGGTTACGCGTTGACCGGCGTTGACCCTTAGGGTTTCGAATTGTCAAACGTTGACTTTTGTTACAACGCGTTGACTGGCGTTGACCTAGGGTTACGCGGTGACCGGCGTTGACCCTTAGGATTTTGGATCGTCGAACGTTGACTCTGATTGCAACGCATTGACTGGCGTTGACCTAGGGTTACGCGGTGACCGGCGTTGACCCTTAGGGTTTTGGATCGTCGAACGTTGACTCTGATTGCAACGCATTGACTGGCGTTGACCTAGGGTTACGCGGTGACCGGCGTTGACCGGCGTTGACCTAGGGTTACGCGGTGACCGGCGTTGACTCTAGGGTTTCGAATCGCCATTAACACAGTTTGTACTCGTACGTTTGCTGGAGTATTCACAGTTTAAGCTCTTAAGGTATTGGAGCATCGTGGTCTCGAATGTTGGGGCTGCAGGACCAACTATTAAAGCTGATTCATCTGCATGTGTGGATTTTATCCTGAATTTGTTGGGTGCTCAAGTCACGAGACCAACTAGTGGAGTTGATGCGTCAATGACTCGCAGTTATAGAATTTTTGGCAAATCCTCAGCCATCAACGGATTTGATTAGCCTTTACCGACTACCGTTTGAGTCGGGCTAGCATGCGGATTGTTTAAGTCCGTTCCGCATGTGACGTTGTGCTAAGAGAGTTAACGCTCTTAGTGCTACGATATTGAATACGTAGACTTCGTCTTTCTCACGGGAATAGACTACCCGGCGACGCGTGTTAGGCGTTGACTTTAGGATTTTTGGCTAATCCCCAGCCTTCAACGGATTTGATTAGCCTTTACCGACTACCGTTTGAGTCGGGCTAGCATGCGGATTGTTTAAGTCCGCTCCTATGTGACGTTTAAGCTAAAAGAGTTAACCCTTTTAGTGCTACGATATTGAATACGTAGACTTCGTCTTTCTCACGGGAATAGACTACCCGGCAACGCGTGTTAGGCGTTGACTTTAGGATTTTTGGCTAATCCCCAGCCTTCAACGGATTTGATTAGCCTTTACCGACTACCGTTTGAGTCGGGCTAGTATGCGGATTGTTTAAGTCCGCTCCCATGTAACGTTTAAGCTAAAAGAGTGAACCCCTTTAGTGCTACGATATTGAATACGTAGACTTCGTCTTTCTCACGGGAATAGACTACCCGGCAACGCGTGTTAGGCGCTGACTTATCCTTACTTAGGATTCAGGATAAAATTCCCCGTGCGTGTGAGGCACGGATTATGGTGTTATTAATAACAACCTGCCACAATGTTGAATATGTGGTCTTTTGTCCTTTTTACGGTCAAGGACTAACCGGCAATGCGTGTTAGACATAGGCTTTGGGATTTTTGGCAAACCCCCAGCCATCAACGGGTTTGATGTGCCTTTACCGATTACCGTTTGAATCGGGCTAGCATGTGAATTATTAAAACCCGTTTCACATGTAACGTTGTGCTAAGAGAATTACTTCCCTTAGACTTAATGCTATGATTTTGAATACATAGACTTCGTCTTTCTCACGGGAATAGACTACCCGGCAACGCGTGTTAGGCGTTGACTTATCCCTACTCAGGCTTCGGGATAAAATTCCCCGTGCATCGAGTGCCCGGATTTGACAATCGTGTCTTTTCTAAAAGCAAAGACAGATTGAGAAACGGGAGAGGAAGAATTTTATATTCTATCTCCCGGTGCTGAAGAGGAAGAATTTTATATTCTATCTACAGCTGGAAAGGGAACTTGAGGTGGGATCCCCCACCCCCAGAATCCGGAATGATGAACTGGGAGTGGGTTCTCCACTCCGAGCATCGGAAAGGTCCGAGGAGAGGAAGAATTTTATATTCTATCTCCCGGTGCTGAAGAGGAAGAATTTTATATTCTATCTACAGCTGGAAAGGAAACTCGAGGTGGGATCTCCACCCCCAGAATCCGGAAGGATGAAACTAAGAGTGGGATCTCCACTCCGAGAATCGTAACAATTCGGATAACCCTAACTGTCGGAAGGTTTGATTACCCGATTTGGAAGTGGACCTCTCGTTTATTGGGGGAATCGAGAGGAGATTTTGACTGTGGCCCTAACTGTACGAAGGTTTGACCCAGCAGGAGTTTGAGATGACCCTAACTGTCGGAAGGTTTGATCACTCGATTTGAAAGTGGACCTCTCGTTCATTGGAGGAATCGAGAAGGGATTTTGGCTTTGGCCCTAACTTTTATAGGTTTGACCAGAACGCAACTAGAGTGGAATACGGGTAGCAAAGAAAGTGCCAACTCGTATCATCACTCAAAGGGAGATTTTAACGCTAGGGACAGGAAGATGGCTGGCTGAGTAGACCGGGTTCAGGTCCGGCCCGGTCCCAAGCAAGGACCCAATAAATTTTTTTGGGCCGGGTCGGGTTGGCCCG